GACGAAATATTCAATGACAACATGACAACCTAACACGCCGTCCTCTTTTAAAGGAATGCTTGAAACATACTTCAAATAAATATAGTTTAAAAAACTAAAAAATACGCTTTTGAAGAACATCGAACTGAAAATTTAAAAAAAGTATTTTCAACTTTTTAGTTCGATGTTTTTTAAAAGCGTGTTTTTCAAACTAGGTATATTAATTTTTCATTTTTTAGTTTCGTATGCTAGAAAAGCGTCTTTTTTAGGCTTTTTGAACTATATTTATTTCATCTAAACTTTGAGATCAATCAGCCGTATATTGTTTAGAAAAATGACCATTGATATTTTCCAATTTTGGAGAGGGAGCCTGAAAATCAGCTACCAAGCCCAAGGCAGCAGGCGCGCAAAGGAGGGTTTTAAATAAGGCAGCAGCGTAATAATAAAAAAATGTACTTTTTTCAAATGAAAAAATACATGTAAAGTAAGTTCGAATTATATCAAGGAGGTTACGTACACCGCCATCTACCTACGAATAAATCAAGCAATAATGTCGGTATCTTAAGGACGTTACGTACATCGCCATCTGCCCGCGAATAGATCAAGCAATAATGTCGATAATTCTGTCAAATACAGATCCCGAGTTTGAGAGTTACAAACAAATAAACATACATACATACATACAGGTGAAGCTAATAAATAATAATAAAAGCGTGTTAAAATAAAATTGATAAAAAAAATAAAAATGATTCATACTTTTTGTTCAATAGGCAACACACACACACACTTTCCTCTGCGCACGTTTGATTTTATCCCCACTGGTCTTCACGGTGACAACTAGATATTATTATATCGATCATCTAGTGAAATGCCTCTGCCTAACTAGATTCAATTTTTATTTTAACTAAAGAGACATTTAAAAACCCAGTTATCCGTGACTGACATCAAAGAATGAATCTCGGAATTTGTCAATAACGTCATGTGTTAAAGTTTCTTTCGCATGTAAATGTGCAAATGGTCATTTAGGATTTACAAAGAGAAGTTCCCTGAAAGAAGACAACCAGATGGAAAGGCATTTCAGGCTCTAAAAACAACATTTGAATGAACTGGTAATGTCAATCTCGAGAAGTTCGAACGTGTCTGCCATGTAACAAATGAAGAGAATATATTTTAAATTGCTCTTCACCTTGTTGAAAATCCCCATGTGAGTACCCAAAACCTGAGCAGGAAATTAGCATTTTCTCAAACCAGCGTGTCTCGAATGACATGAGCAAGCAAATTTCATCCTTACCACATGCGATTGATGCAATTTTGCCGATGGGGCTTAAAAAAGATCAATCAAGAAAATGATTTTTTCGATTTAGTGTTAATTGCTGACGAAGCGATGAAGTTAAATTATGTCTGTTTGAAAATGAATGAAACTTGATCGGTTTTACCGAGCACCCTATATATTATTTCCGAAAGTTGAGATTCCCAAAAGTATCATATAGTGATATTGACTAACTATTCCTAAAGAAAATCCGCTTAATTGCTATAGACATGCGGGTGGTGAATTAAAAAAATATTGTCTGCAAAATAGGTTTTTCTAGAATAACTTGACAATGCCGCAATGGAAATTCGAAAACAAAAATTCCTTAGAGAGCTATGGAATCGAATGACGTATTCATATACTGGGTATTCTTTAAAAAATGACTTTGGTTGGCCATGCACGGCTGAATCACCCAGTATGCGAGAAAATAAGTTCAAAACATAGTATCAAATTGAGCAATTCGAAAAATTGTTTCCCTGATATAGCAATGGACCGAAGGAATTTTGTTGACTCACCCTGTATTGTTTTCCATATTTGTATTCCATTAGAAAAGTTCTTTCAAAAAATATAAGATTATTGGTATAAATACAGCGGAACAGAAGTTATTCGAAAAATATTGTCGAAAAATGTATCTATTCATCCGGTCATCATTTTTAATTGGAAGTCATTATTTTACATTTTTGATTTTCTTATTTAGCATTTGATTTTCCTTTGAAACGTGTAACGACACGATTCTCCTTTCTTTGTACGTCGTTCGTATTTACAGGATGTATTTGTTGTGGTATAAATGTCCTTCTTTTGTCAGTTGGAGCGCCATTGTTGTTTTGCATTCAATATTTTATTTTCTGCTACCACCATATTAACTTTATACTATGTTTGTGCTAAAACAAAACATTGTACGTCGAGTAACCGAGGGCGATAAGGGTGTAAAATATATTTCAAATTTTCAATTTGCAAAAGCGGGACAATTGCGGCCTCGCTGGGGACACCGAGACAGACTGCCTGAAATCGAGACGTATGGTCACGAGGCTAATTGCACACACTTGATAATTCCTC